GAGCACGCGCGCGCGTCGTCGCGCGCGCATGCCGGAATCTTTCAACAAAATCTTCGGTTTCGGAAGGATACCAAAATCGAGTTTCCAAAACACATAAAAAACACAGGGTTTCGCAACAATGACGTGCTGATAAAGCTTAAGCAGGCCTTTGCGAAACGTGAAAAAAGGAAAAAAAGGTCGCCCAATAATTTCAACAACAAAAAAAGCTACCAAACGGGCTTCGCGCGCGCGTCAAAATCATTCGAACGCACTTGCGCGCGTGCCGTCGCGACGATCCTCTGCAACAAATTGGACAAAGTGCACGCGCGCGCGCCCTCGCGCGCATGCCGACATCCTTCGAAAATCTTCGGTTTCGGAAGGAATTCAATATCGAGTGCCCAAAAACACACAAACACACACACACACAAACACACAAACACACAAACACACAAACACACAAACACACACACACACACACACCACGCGCCCGTGCCTTCGCGAGAATCCTCTCTGCAACGAAACGGGGCGAGGTGCGCGCGCGCGTCGTCGCGCGCGCGTGCCGGAATCCTTTCAACACCTTCGGTTTCGGAAGGATGTCAGAATCGAGTGTCCAGAAAACATACAAAAACAAATTGTTTTTGCAACGCGGATTCTGAACAAAAACGAGCGCGCGCGCTCTTGCGTAGTCGTCGTCGTCGTCGTCGCCGCCCTCCCTCCTCCCTCGTCGTCGTCGTCGTCGCCGTCGTCGTCCTCTGTCTTTCCTCGTCGTCGTCGTCGTCCTCTTTGGCGTCGTCGTCGTTGCCGTCGTCGTTGTCGCCGTGGTCGTCCTTCCTCCTCCCTCGTCGTCGTCGTCGTCCGTCGTCGGCGTCTCGTCGTCGTCCCTCCTATTTCGTCGCCGTCGTCGTCGTCGTCGTCTTCCCTCCTCCCTCGTCGTTGTCGTCGTCGGCGTCGCCGTCCTCCCTCCTTCTTCGTCGTTCGCGTTGTCGCCGTCCTCCCTCCTCCCTCGTCGTTGTAGCTGCCGCGACAGCTCGAGGCGCGTCGTCGATTTGGGTGCTGCACCAGTTGCTGCGACGACCGCTAGAGCACGCGCGGCCACGGGCGGCGCGGCCATCCGCGCCCCCGATCCCGCCCGGCACCGGCGCCAGCGGCGGCAGCGAGCCTGGGCTCGCACGCTGCTGCGGCTGGGCGCCGCCGCGGGCCTGCTGGCCAGTCACCGCGGCAGCCGGCGGCCCGCCGCCATGGCTAAGAGCGACAAGAAAGCAAGGTCATCGTCGGCCCCGCGGCAGTGCGACGGATCGACATCGTGGACCTGTAAGGGCTGCGATGGCCAGAACTTCTCCAGCCGCACCACATGCCGAAGCTGCGGGGAGAAGAAGAGGCCGCTGCCGCCGTGGAAGGCAGACGGCACCCCGAGGAAGCGCAGCCGCCAGCGGGGAGGAGGCGAACGCAGCCAGGCTCCATGAAGCCAGAATGAGCCGCCATGGACGTCGCAGCAGGCAGCGGGCAAGGCCCCCATGGGCGCCCTGCCGCTGGTTCCCATGGAGGCCAAGAAGCACGCGGCGTGGGCGCAGCCGCCCCCGCTCGCCGCTGAGCTCAAACAGTTTCGAGAATCCCTGCGCAAGGCGCTGCTCGCGGCAGAGGGCAGAGCCAGAGCGACCATGGGGACTTCCAGAGCCAGATCGGAAGAGGTCGGGCCAGGCCGAGCGAGAGCACGCCGCCATCCTCTGCCAGGTCACCATGGCCAAGGACCCGTAGCCGAGGCAGGAGCGCCAAGAAGCCTACCTGAGCATGGCCACGAAGCTGCTCACTGCCGCTCGGGACACTGAACTGGCAGCGCAGATGAAGCTGAAGGCGGCGGAGCTTGACACCGAGAAGGCCCAGAAGGACCTGCAGCGCGCCCAGCGCTTCCTCAGCCAGATGCAGCAGAGCGACTTCTGCGCGCACACCAAGCATCAAGCTGCTGCAGCCCCGCAGCCAGGGCCCAAGGAAGGCCCCTGGGCGGAAGGCATTACAGACAGCGACGATGAGGGTGACGAAATCAGCAGCATCGCCATCGACCCCTACAACGAGAGCGGGTACATGGACGACTGCCAGCCAGGTGACACCGTCGCGTCTGGCTCCCCCAGCAGCGCCACAGCTCAGGCGAGGCAGCAGAGCCGCATGGCAGCGATGGAGACGCAGATCGGCGAGATGTCCCAGCGCATGGCGCAGCTCATGGCCGTCCTGGAGCAGACCAAGGGCATGCCAGCGGCAGCGCAGCCGCCAGCTGCGGCCCCGGCCGAGGGGCCCCAGGGCACAGGAGGAGATGACTCAGCCAAGGCAGCCAAGCTGGAGGCGAAGAAGAAGGCCGCAGAGGAGGCCAAGGCCAAGGATGCAGAGCATGTTCCAATCTGGAAGGCGCACAGCAGATGACGAGGAGCGCAGCAAGATCCGCAGCCGCAGCCCGGTGGACAAGGGCGATGCTGGAGCTCCAGCATCATCAGCAGGGGAGGCGGCAGCCCCAGGCGCGGCCGCAGAGGCCGAGGAGGATGCGCAGCTTTGACGGTTGCGGGGCCCCGCCGCAGCCCGCGCGGCCTGCGACGAGGAGGGCGGGGCCCCTGCGCCGCCGGCAGTGCCGCTACCAGCTCTTCCTCACCTGGTCGTACAGTGCCGCTGCCAGACGGCCGCCAGGCGCCGCAAGCGCTGCGAGCGGCGTGGCCTTTCCAGCTCACCAAGCTCGCAGGCGGATCCAGCCTAGAGCAATACTTGCACTAGGCCACTCAGTCGCTGATCGCAGACTGCAACTCCGACCAGCCTCCGCAGACGCCGCTGCGGCACGCGCGCATCGATCTCTACGCGGATGGCCCAGGAGGCGCCGCAAAAGGAGACATCCCTGGGCCACCTTCCTGGGCCTTTGTTGTCATCGCCACGGACGTGCAAGGGATGCGCTCCGTGCTCGGGTATCTCGGGCAAGCCGTGCCAGGGCTTGCCGATCTCTTCCGCCAGCCCTCAGTGGAGGCCGAGCTCTGCGCGGGGATAGCGGCGGCGCTTTGGTTGCTGCAGCTGCACCGCGCCCTCGGCATGGAGGATGAGGTGGGCTTCCCGCAGATCGTCGTGCACACCGACTGCCAGCGCGTTATGGATATCGCGCGAGCAGGCGCATCCCGGGCCACCTACAGGCCGCACTCCATCGCCCTCGACGGCCTCGCGAAAGTCCTGAGGCACATCGCCGTCTGCGACTAGCAGCACGTGCCAGGCCACGTTGCCGACGGTTGTAACGAGCTCGCGGACGCCATCGCGACGCTCGCCAGGGGCGGCATCATAGAGGCCCAGTGCAGCGACCTGGTCTGGGACCAATTGTTCGCCCACCTCCAGGAGGTCCCGTGGCTATGGTTAGCGGCTGCCCCCCCCTAACGTCCGCTCCCAATTTCCTTCCCCTGTAGGCGAGGTCCACAAGTTGGGTCCGTCGGTCCACTGGATCAGGCAGTTTCTTGACAGCCGATTATCCAGGGCCCCTGCAGGGGAGGGGCAGCCCCCGCGCGCAGGCAGCATAGTGCACAAGCTCGCCGTGGCCAATGTCCTCACGCTTGATCCCACCAAGGAGCGAGAAGGCAAAACCAAAGCCTTCGCAGGGGCGATGCTCCCGGGCAGGGTGCACATGCTGGAAGGTGCCACTTCATCGGCACCCAGGAGACGAGGGTCCCGAAGGACTCCCTGATCAGAGTTGACGACTACCGCATCTACCATACTGCCGCAACGGCCGAGGGGCAGATCGGGGTCTCCCTCTGGGTCAACATCAAGGCAGCGCTGGGGGAGGGTACGCCGCTCAGCGACAGCAGCACGGCCATCCTGCACACGGGCCCCCACGGGCTCCTGGCCAGCAACAGGTCCGCATGGCTCAACATCGACGTCTTCGTGGGCCACGCTCCGCATCGCGGAGCACCTCCTGCCGTGCATGAAGAATGGTGGCAGGCTACGGAGAAACTGCTGAAGACGAAGCCATCGCCCTCCACGAGACTGGTGTGCATCATGGGCGCCAACGCGAGGGTCGGCAGCATCGGCGCGGAGGCCATTGGGCACTGCGGCGCAGTCAACGAGAACCGCACAGGTGCATGCCTACGAGGCTTCACCTCCGCGGTCGGTGTCTGCCTCCCCAGCGCACTCCTCCCATCCAGAGGTCACAAGTACACCGCGTGGAGCTGCGCGGCCAAGGATGGCAAGCGCGAGGAGCACAGGCTGGACTACATCGCCATCTCGTCGCAGATGCTCACAGGAGTGAAAGACCAGGGGATCAACCGCGACATCGAGCTGGCCGTTTCCCACCAAGACCATTTGCTGGTGGTGGTGGACCTCACCGTCGTGCTGGAGCCGGACACTGAGCAGCCAGGACCACAGTGGCATGGCATGGGCATTGACAAGGAGAAGCTCGACCTGCCAGCATGCCGCGAGCACTTCGAGCAGCTGCTGCAACAGCTACCAGACGCGTCACTCCACCTTCACCCCAACGACCACGCAGAGGCGCTGGACGACGCAGTTCGAGCGGCAACGGCACAGACGTCCCCCAAGGGGCCGATGCCGCCACACAGCTCGTGGACGTTAACAGCCTCGAGGGACCTGTGCCAGCTCCCACATCAACGGCGAGCACGTCGCACCCAGCCCAAATCCAAGCACATGTTGATGTTAGCGCTGCTCGCAGGCCTGGGCCCACGCGCCGAAGTACGAGCTGCGGCGCAACAATCGGATAGGCCAGGACAGTGTCAACACCAGAGAGGCGACCAAGTGCGTCGAGGCCATGCCCCCGCTGCTCGAAATGCTGAGAAGCTCCTAGGGACTGCCGGATACCGCGGCTACGGTGCTCAAGTCTCAGTTCCCGCGGCCACTACGCCACCGACGTGCCGCCAAGCTGCCAGCCAAAGCAGCTGCACCTGCGAGGGGGACCGTCCACTTCGGCGAGACTCCAGGCGAAGGGCCCCAAGGCCAAGACGATGCGAGGGGCCATGACAGCCTGGCGCCACCCTCGGCTACAGCGGCGCAGCCAAGAGGACCGTGCCAGCAGCAAGACCTGGAGGCAACAAACGAGCACTTCCAGCTGGACCAGGAGGTAGAGGACCTCTTCGGCGACATCTTCGAGGATGCGCAGTGCACTCCAACGGCGCCAGGTGCGACGGCTCGGACATCACGTGCAGTAGCTGTGGGCACTCCGAACGCCTCCGAGTGCCGCGAGGGGGCGGAGGTCGTCTACGGCTTGCATGGCGACAAGGCGGAGGGGCCTGTCGAAAACGACCTGACGGTTGGCGAGGATGTCCTGGCCGATGGGACGCTGGGCGACGCTCCGCTACGTGGAGGCGCGGGCGCTGCGGGTCGACCCGCGAGGGAGATCGGCCTAACCTCGTGCGAACCTCTGATCCCAAAGCGGCTCTCGCCAAAGCCCCGCGCTGACACGGAACGGGAAGCTGCTCGCGCTGGGGCGCAAGTCCCAGCCCCCAGGAGCACCCTCGAGGTAAATAGCGAGAGGGGCTGGGCTCAGTCGCCAAGTTTTCTGCTGGGGCCTGCCCCCGGGCGCGCCCGCGAGGTAAACGGCGCGTGGGGCAGGCCCGCCTCGACGAGGGAAGCAGGGGCGGATGCGGCCGCTGCTGGGGCGCCCGCAGGTGAGCCGTCTGCGGCGGCCGCGCTTTCCCAGCGGCGCCAAGTGGTCGAGAACCTCTTCGGTGACATCTTCGAGGATGCGCAGTGCACTCCGCCGGCGACAGGCGCGAATACCGGGAAGTCACACGCAGTGTCTGTGGGCCCTCCGAGCGCCGCGGGCCCCGTCCGCGGGGCCGCCGACGGCGCGAGGAGAGGAGAGCGCGCCATTGCTGGAGGGCCAACGCGGGCAGGGCTGCGAGTGACAGAAGGGGCGGCGCGTTGGCCAGGGCGGGGCGGGAAGCAGATCATGGAGCGCCTCATAGCCCCTCCCCCAAGCCAGGGGCAACCACAGGACCGCCCCAAGAGGAGGACCCCAGCGAGGATCAAGGTGCTCGAGGAGCGGCAAGGGAGTACCGAGCAGCTCCCACATCCACTGCTACGACCGCAACGACGACAGCGGCATCCTTAACTGCGTCGACGGAGGTGACGCGGAACGCCAGGCGGGCGCTCGACACTCTGCGAGCCCATCTCTAGGTGAGACCCAACTCCAGGGGGGCCGATGCCCTCGCCACCCAAGCGGCAGCTGGAGGTTCGAGCGCCCCGCTCGCCCCGGCCGCCCCCGCAGCCCGCTGCCGCCGTCAAGAGGGCGCCAACCCATGCGTAGAGCGCAGCAGCCTGCTGGAGCAAGAGTCGGGCGACACGTACAACCCACCGCACGAGCTGCCCGAGGCGATCTAAAGGAGATGCAGGCAGCTTGCCGACGAGATAGAGAACCAGGCCAGCATCTGGACCCACGACCTCATGGATGCCCATGCCAGCGCGCGTTCTCGAAGGCATGGTGCGCGCCCTACATCATGCAGCGCCTGAGACAGGACAACGAGCTCCTGCTCAGAGTCCAGGAAGGGCGAGACGCCGGCATCGAGAGGACTATCCAGCGCATCGCCGAGGACATCTGCGACGACTCGCGGGACGAGTCAAGAGACTGGCGGGAAGGGCGCCCGCGCTGGATCTACTGGCAGGATCGACAAGGTGAACGCGCTAGTCAAGACAGGCTGGCGGCCGAAAGCTGGCGCAACCTCGACCAGGTGAAGGACCACTTCAGGGCCCTCCGGGGCAGCCGAGCCCCGCCAGAAGGAGCCGGGCGGCGACGGGGGCTAGACGGCAGACCTCACCCAGGAGGAGAATAATATGGAAGGCGCAGGAGGGGGCAAGACGTCACGGCCCCAGATGACCCGCTTGAGGCACGGCATCCTGCGCACGAAGTACACGGCCAGAACGTCGCAGGAGTGCTGGACGACTGGTCATACTTCGACAACGGTTGGACGGAGCAAGTCACAGACTAGGAGTGGATCCTCCACGACGCCAGCCAGGACGACGACAAGAGGGGCGTCGACCCAAGAGCTGGACCAAGCCGAGAAAAGGCCAGAGGAGCACAATTCCACCTCGACGACCCCGACCACGACCCGTTCGAAGACCCTGACCACGACTGCCAAGGCTCGGCTAGCAACGTTTCGCCGAGGTCAGGGGCGCCAGCCGCGGTGCTCCTCGAGCCGCGTGCTGGCGCAGACTTCGGCGCGCCAGGCGTAATCCAGAGGAGAAGGCGCACGTGCTCACTACGGCCAGCTTCGTACGACTCAGGAGGCCAGCTGTTCAAGCAGGCGGTGGCCATCAATCCCGAGGATGCCATCCTGCACGTGCTCAACGATTGCGACGGCGACTGGGCCACCCTGCTCCCGACCATGTTCGACATCGCCGCATGGTTGCAGCATGTCGCCACAGCGTTCAGCGACTGGGGTTGGAAGCTGATGCTGAAGACTATACAGGCCGCGCCCAGAAGCGACGACAGCGACCACTACCAGCGCATCGCCGCGGGGGTCAGCGACGCATGGAGCCAGATGCACACCAGGAAGGCCTTCGCGAGGCTCCGAGGCATGGGCGTAGGATCGCCCTAGAAGCGGATGATGGCCACGCCGCCGCAGGTCAGGAAGCTCGACGGCAGCATGGCGGTCAATCACCGAGAGATGGGCGACAGGCGGCTGCAGCTTTTAGCCCTAGTCGAGTTTGCAGCCGCTACAGAAGCTCGATAAGTACGGCGACTTCTTCAGCCAGCTGCCCATGGACAACGATCTCCTCGAGGACTGCATCCCCTGGCCCAACGAGATGGAGAGCCCTTCGACTCACGAAGGACTCAGGAGGCAGGAGTAGACGGCATCCCTGGCCTGCTGTGCAAAAGATTCGCAGGCCCGCTGGCCACGGCATACGCGCCGTTGGTGGCCAAGTGCGCAGTCACGGGCATCGAACCAACAAAGTGGGAGGGGAGATGCTACAGGCACCGCCACGAGAAGCACGAGATCGCCAAATGCGCGAACCACAAGTGCTTCGCAGCCACGGCAGCCATGGGCAAGCGGGCGAGGCGCTGCATGGGAACAAGGCGTGCCCAGGCGATGCCAGCACTAGTGGGGCCACGGCAGTTCGGAGGCATCAAGCGCAGAGACACGCAGCGCGCCACCATCTTGCTGCGGCTACTGCAGGCCTCAGCCAAGCAACAGAGTCCCACTTTCGGGGCCCTCTTCCTAGACGCCAGGAGTGCATTCTACTCGCTGGTGCGTGAGCTCATCCTGGACGCCAGCATGTCGCGCAGCAGCGTCAACGCGATCGCCGACACCACAGGGGTGCCAATTGCAGCGATGCAACCGCTCAAGCAGAAGCTACGGGGCCAAGGGATACTAGCTCGTCATGGCATCACAGGGCACCTGCGAGCACTGATCACAGGGCAGTACCGGGCCTCCTGGTTTGTCTGCGAGGGCTCGGACCACGTCAGCCTAGGCGCGAAGTCGCCCATTCCAGACCAGCCGCTGGCGGACCAGGTCTACGGGGTAGCCATGGGGGAGATCATGCGCGTCGTCGAGGCCAGGCTCTCCCAACATGGGCTAGGAGTCTGCATACCGGGGGCCGAGGCGCGCTCGATCGCCGGCCAGCTCGAAGACGACGACTCCTGGACCGACATCCCGGCCCACAGCATCGCGTTCGCAGACCACGGCGCCTACTTCTACATGGGCAGAGCGGAGGACGCGGTGGGCCGCATTCGAGCTGGCGGGAGGGGTCGTCCTCGACGTCTTCGCAGAGTACGGCCTCCAGCTCAACCTGGACGCAGGCAAGTCAGATGCCCTCCTGGCCTTCGCAGGGAGAGGCTCTAAGGAGTCCAAGCGCAAGCTGTGGCACGATCAGCGAGGCCAGCTCCAGCTCGTCTCCGGATACTTCGAGCCCCCCATCGTGAGCGTCGTCACCACGCACGTGCAGCTCGGCACGGTTGTCGACGACCACGGGGCCATGTACCCAGAGCTCTGCCGAAGGCCGCAGACCACGGCGCACCAACTACAGCGGTTCCGGCGCAAGGCTTGTGCAGGTGACCAACTGCCACTCAAGGTCCGCATGATATTCGCGGACTCCCTCATCGTGGGCTGCAGATGATACTCAGCGGGCAGCTGGGACCCGCTTTCGGTTTCGGCAGCAGAGCACAACTACGCGCACGGAATGGTGATGTCCGTGTACATGGCGGCCACTCGCAGCTCCCCAGTCAAGCGCAGCCAAGAGGAGGAGGCGGAGTTAGAGAAGGTCCCGGACGCCGAGGACGACCATGTGCTCACGGAAGCAGGGAGAGCACGGCCAGCCGACCCATTTCGAGTAGCGAGGCTGCGCCTCTTCGGCGAACTGCTGCACTCAGGCCCCGTACCAGTCTTCGCGCTGATGGCCAAGCTGCTGATGCTGCCTGCGCCACCGCAGCGAAGCAACTGGCCCAAGAAGCTCATCGACGACTTGGTCTGGGCGCAGCAGTACACCCACTTCCTCAAGGGCCTCTCGGACCCAGGCGAGGACATCCGTCCATGGGAACAACGCATCAGCGCCTCACACACCAGCTGGAAGTACCAGTTGGGCGAGGTCCTCAAGGCAGCAGCGGAGGACCTCGGCAGGCGCACCATGGCAGCGGCGGCAGCCAAGCGCTACTTCGCAGAGGCGCAGGCGGCAAGTGTACCATGGTCGAGCAGGCCAGGCAGCCCACATGAACCGCCACAGCCAGCGCAGCAGCGCCAGGACGGCGGCAAGTGGACATGCCCATGGTGCGCGACAAGCTTCACACGACAGAGAGGGCTTCGAATGCACATTGCACGCAGACACTGGACTGTGACAGCATTAGCCAAAAGATGGATGCGAGGAATGAGCCAGCGCCAGATATGCATGATATGCATGATGCAATTCCAGCGCCCGCACCATCTGCTGGAACACCTAGCAGTCGCATGGTCCCCGCGCCTTCTACTCACCATCAAGGGCAGCATGCCGGCAGCCGACGACGACAAGGTGGCCGACCCACCCCTGCCCAAAGGGGGGTTCCGCAAGAGAGTGGACATACCAGCAGTGCGAGCAGCAGGCCCAGCCACAGAGGAGACGGACAAATGGAGGTCCAGCTTCCACGACTGGCAGGCCAAGCAAATCCTCCTGGAGAGCGAGTATGCCCTGGACGACGAGGCCAGGACCGCGCTGCAGGCCCCAACCCTCCACGGGTAGCAGGACATTGAGAAGGACCCAGAGCCCCCGTCGGAGCGCTACACGCTACACGCTGGACCAGTTCAGGACGAACGACTACAAGGGCATCACCACCGTGGCGGTGCCCTGGCGGATCAGGAGGGCGGAAGTATTCATCCTGAACCTGTACTGCGGAGTGAGAAGGCGAGGAGACATCCAGGACTGCCTCTCCAGTGCCACGGCGCGCGAGGAGGTCAGTGCAGTCGTGGCGGTCACAGTGCTGAGCATCAACGTGGCGATCGACGCGGAGCGATGCGACATGATGAAGTCGAAGAGCCTGGATACGTTCAACGGCGCGATCTACTCGAAGCAGGTCATCCTGAACGGCGGCGGGCCACCCTGCGAGACGTGGAGTGCGGCTCGTTGGTCGGATCTGCCTGGCCCGCCGCCGCTCAGAACCCATGACGAGTACTGGGGCATCAAGACAGCCACGAACCGCCAGCGGCTCCAGCTCATGGTTGGCAACTCCCTGCTGCAGGCGATGGTGCTGCTGATGGGAGCGCACCTACGAGTGGGATCCGCGGCATGGATGGAGCACCGCATCCCAGCGCACTGGCGGCGAGAAGCGGTCACGAGCTGGACATGGGAACCGCTCCTAGCGCCACAGAGCTGCCCGGTCGTGACCACCACCGACTTCGACCCGTGCGAGCACGGGGGCGAGGTCGGGCGCGCGCCGACGCGCATTGTCGGCCTCCGAGTGAAAGGCCTGCACACGCGCCTCACGGCGACGCCTGGACGAAGGCGCTGCTCGAACGGGCGAGGAGCGCACACCACCCTCCTCGGGAAAAAAGGGGAGGGCGTTTTCCGCACGGCGGCCAAGAAGGTCTACCCTGCTGGCCTCTGCAAGGCCTTGGCGAATGCCATGATCGACACGGTGTCAGACTTCGTGTCCTTCGAGCTCGGCTCCACCGAGCCGGAAGGAGAAGAGTGTCCAGAGGTGAACGGTCTCAGGTTCCGGAAGAGGGGGAGGGCCAGGAGTGCGCCCCGGATTTCAGTCGGCGAACCATGAGCTCTCGGCCCGATCCCGAGCGTCATCGGTTCCGTCGGCCCGAAGTCCGCGCTGTGGCCAAGCCGTGCCCCCCCTCCGAATAGCCCGACAGCAGGGGTCCCTGTCCCACCCCCGACCCCTTGGAAGACCTCACCCAAGAGGACATCTTCGCTGCCGTTGTAGGCCTCGAGTCCCCCTCATCCCCTGTCTCCGTGCCTCGGCCTCCTCTCCCTGCGCCTCCCGCTCCCCTGACCGAGCAGCAGCGAGAGCGAATTGCGAGGAACCGAAACGAAGCGATCCGGAGGAGGCACCTCAGGAGGGCCCCGTGGATTGCTCAGTCCAATGTGCGGTTCAACTTCTAGCTCTCGGGGGGGCCCTTCATAAGTTGAGGGCGCCCTCTGCCTCGACGCAGGGGTGCGTGGCGGTTTGACCCTCGGCATACGCAGCTGCGTTCAAGCCTGTGCCCACCACCACCTCGTCGTTGTCGTTGTCGCCGTCGTCGTCATCCCTCCTCCCTCGTCGTCGTCGTCGTCGTCTTCGTTGGCGACGTCGTCGTCGTCTTCGTCTTCGTCGTCGGCGTCGTCGCGGTCGTCGTCGTCGGCGTCGTCGTCGTCGGCGGCGTCATCGTCGTCGCCGTCGTCGGCGTCGTAGACGTCGTCGTTTCCGTCGTCGTCGTCGTCGGTGTCGTCGTCGTCGTCGAAGTCGTCGGAGTCGTCGCCGGTGTCGTCGTAGTCGTCGTCGGCGTCGTCGTCGTTGTCGCTGTCGTCGTCGGCGTCGGTGCCGCTGCCAAGTGCCATTTGGTGCCTACCGTCACGGTCTTAAGAGGTCTTGCGACCAAGTTGCGGATGGGAGGGTGGGATGTTCGCACGAGCAGTGGAGAGGACAGCTTCAAGACAGTCAAAGTGAATTGCACCACATAGTTTGCACCGCACATATTCCACATCATAAACTGCAGAACACACAAGGCACACATAGCCTGCATAACTTGTTTCGCAAAATACAGATTGCGCAACATAGGTTGCTCAGCATGTTTGCACCGCAAAAATTGTAGCACATTGATTGCCGCACCTATAGATTGCACAACATGAACTGCGAGAGAGAAACACACTCTCTGGGCCCCAAGCTGGCGAACGTATAGAAATGATATATATATATATATATATGTGCATACATACATACATACATACATACATACATACAGACATACATACATACATACATAGATACATACATACATACATACATACATACATACATACATACATACATTATCGAGTATCACTCTCTCTCTCTCTGTCTCTCTCTCTCTCTCTCCTCTGGTGCGCCGACGCGGAGGGCCAGGAACGGGGGGGGATGCCCATCTTGGCCCCAGGTATGCGCGACGACGAGTGGCGGCCAGCGGACGTGCTGAAACAAGAAGAGAGGGTGCCATGAATCCTGGGAGAAGTCGTGGCCCCCGCCATGACAACCACCCCTCTGGTCCCTACTCCTCTTGGATGCCCCCGACCTCTCCGTCCCGGAAAATGTAATGTGCTGAATGCCCCTTTCACTGACAGGCTTTCCGCGTCATTAGCGCTGAAGCCCAAGAGAAAATGCCCCCCCCATCTCCTCCTCTCTCTCTCTCTTTCTCTCCCTCTCTCCCTCTCGCTCTGTCTCTTTCCCTGCGGTAAGGGCCTTGGATAATGAATCCAGGGTCTGGAAGCCGGCGGAAACCCACTCGTGGATTGGCCATGGATATCACCGCCACCCTCATCAGATAAGGCACCCTACAGAGGCTGAAGCCTCATGGGCACATCTCTCCCTTTCTCTCTCTCTCTCTTTCTCTCTCTCTCTCTCTCTCTCTCTCCTGTGTGTCTCTCTTTACTTGTTGCTTGTTTTCTTGTTTATTTTGTTTTTATTTTCTCTCTCTCTCTCTCTCTCTCTAGGTGAGGGGGAGAGAAGGCGTCCCAAGCCAGCACGGCGGCAGCAGCAGAGCCCTCGACAGGGACAGCCTGCAGCGACTACCGGGTGCAAGACCACCACAGCAGCCAACGATCACGCACTCGTACTGGGGCGCAGAAGTGGCTTCGAAACAAAACCTGACAATCCACAAGAGTTCCCACCAGGGACCCTCCAGAAAAAGCACCGCTCTGCGCTCAACAACCATGCATAGCATTTCCTGTGAGGCCCCCACCTCGGGCGAAGAGCTCCGCCCGTAGAAGCGGAAAGCATGCGAGGCCCAACCGGGAGGGGGGAAGAGAAGGAGAAAGACAGGGCAAGGCGCCGGGCGCGCGATGCGGCCGCCTGGCAGGGGACATGGAGGGCAGAGGGGGGAGGGGGCTCGGGGCGGGGGCGGTCGGCAGGCGGCGGTACGTAGTCGTGGTCTCCCTCTGTTTCTCTCTCCCTCTGTCTCTCTCTGTCTCCCTATCTCTCTTGAACGGGGACCGACCGTCCCGGCATTCCAATGCGCCTGACACGAAATACTCTTAGAACAAAAAATGCTCCTCACATCTCTCCCAAATATTCCTATCTCTCCCCTTCCCTCACCCCCATTGCGAGGCGGGGAAATTTCCAGATCCGCCGCCTGTGGAACCGACGTCCTGGGGCCCCAGCGGGCGTATGGACATACTGGGCCCCCCCAGGGCCCGAATACAGGTCCACATGCAACGCCCGCCCCGACGTCCCCGCAGGTCGACCCCGCAGGCGGTGGCAATTGATTACTCCCCGCCTCGGACCCGTGGCCGCCCCCGGGCCTCCCGGCACCGGGGACACGCGCCTCGCGGCCTGCGGGGCCGAGTCGGCGGGGAGGGGGGAGGGGGCGGCGGCGGGGCGGCCGCCGAGAGCCTCGCGGGCGACCTCCGCCCCGCGCGGCCTCGGCCCCCCCCTTGCCGTGACGGCCTCCGCGCACAGGGCGGCCCGCCAGGGAGATTCACATCGTGATATGTCTTCCTCCTCCTCCTCCTCCTCCTCCTCCCTTCCTTTTCCTTCTAGATCTCTTCTCCCTGTCGCACACCAAGGGAAGTTTTTAGGGCGGGCCAGGCGTTTCGCCTGAGACTTCACCAATTATGACCCTGAAGCTTAAACATCGGCAACAGCTTCACAGATGGAGGGCGGGTCGTTTTCAACATGAGGCTCCCGCCTTAGCGCCGCGCGCTCTCGTTTTACGAATTGCACGAATTTCACGGATTGAGGGCAGATGGTTTTCAACATGTGGCTCTCGCATTCAAGCCGTGCGCAGTCGTTTTACTACAATGTCGCAAAGAGTTTCACGGACTGAGGGCGGCTCCTTTTCAAATTGTGGCTCTCGCCTCAGCGCCACGCACATTCGTTTATATCATTTGCCGGAGTTTCACGGATTCCCATCATCAACGTATCAGAAATGTTGTTTTGGAAGGACTCAGGGCATGCGGGTGCAGCAGTTACGTTGGTTCGCGTTGAAGTTCCAAGAATGGCGTTCTGGCGCGATTCAGGATCGTCAAACCGCAACAATCATATTGATCCGTGGCGCTATAATCCCAAAAACAATGTTTTGGTATGCTTCAGAATGTTCAAGCTGTTATCTTCCAACGAGGCAGTTCCCTCAATGGAAATGAACCGCTGTAGTGGCATATGAAGAGGGAACCTGGAGGGAGGGTTTATTCCAACATCGTTGGTGACTCTTGGGTTTGCACTGGTCCTCCTCCTCCTCCTGCTCCTCCTGCTCCTCATTTGCCCTCCGCCTCCGCCTCCTTCCCCCTCCTCTGTGGCCCCCTCCTTCGCCCCCTCCCCCTGCTCCTCCTTCTCATCCTTCTCCTCCCCCTTTATCGACCTCTCGTGGCCGGCCCTCTCACGGAAAAAATCTCCTCCTCCTCCGAATCTTCCTGCGGCCTTCCTACAACTCTGGCAGGTTCCTAACCCAGAGCGGCATCGCTCCGTGCGGTCTGGACCACAGCCCCAGGCCAGTCGCACCGTCGGGCCACCTTCAGGGTGGTGACTCCATGAACCTGGGCACACTAACGGGGTCAAGGCGCCCGAAAGCCATATTACCTCAAGTCCTCCTCATCCTGCGCCTCCTCTTTCTCCTCCTCCTCGCACCTCACAGGCGCCCCGAAGCTCGAAGGAATCGAGGCCGAGTTCTCTCGGCACTTCTCAGCCTGTGCGGGGAAATCCTCCTCGGGCTCCCCGGCGGTTCCGCCAGAGAACGGCTCTCTCAGTGGATCAGGAGCTGGCCCCAGAAGGGGTTAGGGGTCCATGTTTAGCAAGTCAGGCAGCCCTATAAATTTGGCAGCGGACCTAAGCTAACATGGATTACGAATATGTGGATCTCGCGCGTGGGCGCCAGATCCACAGATCGGGGAAGGTACGACCTGAAACATGAGGCCACTGCCATCTGATTTGGCGACGGCACGCGCCGATTCTGCACGGAAGCGGGACCCGTCGCTAGTCCACGCACCTTGACCCATGCTTGTGGTTCCTTGATTCCTGGTCGGACAGCTGGCTCTTTCGCCGAGCTCCTTGGAGGACCGCCTCGCTGGCCAGCCCAGGGTCCTTTCGGGGCATCCCCAGGCCTTCAGCTCATCACCCGTCCCCGAAGGAAACGTCCCTGTAGAGCCTCACTGGCGCGCGCGCTCCTAATTTATGCTTGCAGCTTGTCCGAGCGGGGGGGGAACGGTGCCGCGCCAGAACTCATTGCAGGACATCTTCAGGCCGAAAGAGGTTCAGCAGAAGGTGAGACGAGCGAATCGAGAGAGAGAGAGGGAACGAACACATGGAGTTAATTGTCAGAAAGCAGCCCAGCTCGCAAGGAACGTTCGAGCCAAAAAAGGTCTATCGAACCAATGCCAGATCAAAACCGCAAAGATGACAATGGCATGTCCACCTGATCAGCTCAAAGCGAACATAATGTGCGACAAGAGATCAGTCGTTCGGGGGCCTCCTCGGGAGACTCTCGCGACGACGACGACGAATGGTACGGGCTCAACGACGATGACGGACGGACGGACGGACGGAAGGGCGGGCGGGCGCGACCGACGACGACGACGACGACGACGACGACGACGACGACCGACGACGACGACGACGACAACGACGACCGACGACCGACGACGACGACGACGACGACAACGACGACCGACGACGACGACGACCGACGACCGACGACGACGACGATGACGACGAAGGCGACGATGACCGACGACCGACGACCAACGACCTCGACGACAACGACGACAGACGACGACGACGACGGACGACGGACGACGACCCAAACATCCAGCGTCTCGATTTGTTCGAGACAGGGGCCCCCGACCCTTCGACCACTTGCCTGCTGACGGTCTCTCACCCCGAGCCGTTTTGTTGGACGGCCTCGAAGCCTGGCGAGGGCCCCGAGAGCCGAGAGGCAGAAACGATGAGAATCCTCCGCCCCGATTTTTTCGAGACTCCCGGATGTCTGGGGACACGCCCGCATCGTAAAACATGCACGACGAGAGGTCGTTGGCCCAACCCCGATTTTTTGTCGAGACGCCCGGCTCTCTGGGGGCCGGCGGCCTGCTGGCAGAAGTACACCCCCGGCCGCGTCTGCGCCATCGCGCGGGGCCGCACCCACCCACCCCCGCGCCGCGAAGGCGCGGTGCGCCCCTCCCCCCAGGGCGCCGGGCCGCCGCGCCGCCGGAGGGCTGCGAGGGCCGAAGGGTTCGACAGTCAGCGTCCTAAACAGAAGGAGCGCAAGAACAGGAACGGAGGGGCTTTCCTGGCCGCGGCGAGCTTCGGCCACGAATGGGCCCCCCGACCTAGGTCTAAGGAGCGGCCCGGAGAGCGGAGCCACTCCTGAGCCCACAGTGGTCCTCATCTCAGCGCCTTGACTGCAGGAGTTCGACTACAGAAATTTTCCCCTGAATTGGATTTCGACGAATCTACACAAGGCACAGCACATTTTCGCTGATCTACAAATTTCACCAGTAAATGTAAGGGTGAATCAATTCTGTCACCGATCCCCTACTCGAAGGGTGCTGGGAGAGGGGGCGGGGCGAGTCGAGCGGGAGCAGTTCCTCCGGCAGACCCCCACCAGCGGAGTCATGAAAAACTAAACAAAATCGAGGTGGAAGGGTTTTTGCTATGTTCAGCCTCTGAAGGCCCTCGCCTGGCCCTGGGACCGTCAAAAATGACTCTGCATGGAGAGCTGGTCCACCGCAATGGGTCGAGACCTCTGGGAGTCGAAATTCAGAAAAAATATTGACGTCGGGGGTCCGGGCCCTGAGATCCAGACGTCTCCATGTTTCGACTTTGTCGTTTCTGCTCGAATCCCGCCCGGCCCAGGGACCATCACAGATCGATCCAGCTTGGATGCCGCAGAACGATGGCTTCTACATGGGCTCCTGTCGTGCTTTTGCGCGATGTTGCAATTCGTTCACAACGTCGGATCTCAGGGGATGCCAACAGTCGTCCCAGAGGACGACCCTGAGCACGGCGCGGTGGCCCTGCAGCTCTGCGCACAAACTCGGCGGGTGGACGTTCACCAGATGGGATCGTCTCCTGCCCGGATCGAGGGAGTGCTCCATCCCAGACATGCGATGTCCTGACTTGCTCAATACAATCGGGCTGCTGGAATAACGATAAACACGGGACGAAACCTATTTTTGGCACCAACCTGGGTGCACGAGGAAGGCTGCAAGAACAACCACGGAATGACCGAAGGAAAGGCGAGCCCTTTCCGAAACCAAACCAGTCCTTCTATTTCAACGATTTGACTGTACGGGGTCCCCAGGAACCCCGACCCGTCCCCCAGGGACGTTTGTCATCCCGAGCCGTTTTTCGACTGTCCCAGGGCCCAGCGACGGCCCCGAGAGGCCGAAAACGTCCAACGACCTCTCGTCGTGCAGGTTTCACGATGCAAGGATGTCGCCAGACATCCGGGCGTTTCGAACAGATCGAGGCGGAGGATTCACATCGTTTTCGGCCTCTCGGGGCCCACACCTAGCCTCGGGACCGCCAAAAAACGGCTCGGAATTAGAAACCGGCCCTGGGGAAGAAGTCGAGAGGTCAGGGACCCGCGTCTCGAACAAATTGAGACGCATGTCTGGGTCGTCGTCCGACGTCCGTCGTCAGTCGTCCGCCGTCCGCCATCCGTCGTCCATCGTCCGTCTTCCGTCGTCGCCTGGGTCGTCATCATCGTGGTCGTCGTTGTCGTTGTCGTCGTCGTCGGTCGTCGTCGTCGGTCGTCGGCCGGCGGTGGGCGGTCGTCGGGATCGCCAATCATCATCGTCGTCCGTGCGCCCGCCATCTCGCCTGCCCGTCCGTCCGTCGTCGTTGTCGTAGTCGTCGTTTTCAGCGAGTGCACGCCCGCCCGTCCGTCGTCGTCGTCGTCGTCGTCGTCGTCGTTTTTGCTCTTCTCACAGCGGGTGGCGCGGAGGGACGACCTCCGCCACCGCCAATGGGAAGGCTCCCAAGTTTCCCCAAAAATGGCGGGAAAGCTGCTCCACACCGCTGCTTCGATCCCGCCAGCCGAGCACGCGGGGGGACGTTGACGGGGAGAGATCAGTGGGGGCGAACGACCCCCAACAAACTCCGGGCGGAATGTTTGACTCAATTCAAAGACGTTATTTCCTCCATGTCGGACCCACCGGGCCATCAAACATGCCTCTGGGGCGAACCTTTGGGGCACGCGGATCGAAAAAAACAAATCTTCCGTATGTCTGGGAACGGGTGCAGGAAAATGGCCGTTAAGGGGTCCTACAATGACACTGAACTGCCACCCTGGCTTCAACAGGTGTTGGGAATGTGCACCTATCTTCGACAGCCGTTCTTTTACCTCACAACCCCCCGTCACCGTCCAGCCGACGAACTAGAGGGTAGTACGGATCCCAATCTGGGCGCGGAGTCCAAATTCCAGCTGGCGCGCGCGAGCTTTCCCATGAAACGAAGCCACGTGTCGTGAGCGGGGACCACACTTGGAACACCCCGCAATGTTCTGGCCTCGGCCGAAGAAGAATTGGATTATGAGTTAGGCCGCGTCCACGACCTTTTTCCTTGCCTCGTAGCGTATGGAACTCGATTCACGTCTCGGATCGTACCACTTCTCTGACGTAGTCACCAATAGTTGCAAGCGCACCAGTGGATGCACATCTTTCCCCAATCAGAGCTTGCCTCTGTAGGGGTCCTAGCGGATATAAAGCTGAGCTGCGGCCGATTTCGGTGGCCGGGGCCGGGTGCCCAGGTGCGCGGGTGCCCGGGGGTTCCCGGGGGTGCCCGGGTGCCCAGGTGTGTGGCCAATTTCGGTGGCCGGGGCCGGGTGCCCGGGTGCCCTGGAGTGCTCGGGGGTGCCCGGGTGCCCAGGGGTGCCCGGGTGCCCGGGGTGCCCAGAATGGCCCGGGGGTGCCTAGCCCAATAGCCCTTATCCCCATAGCCTAATAGCCCAATCGCCATATATCCCTATAGCACTATAACCCTATAGCCCTATAGCCGTATCTATACGACCACCCTTCGAGTGATAAGGAGGTTCGGGGGGGGGGAACCAACGTCTCACTCGATCGGTCTCACTATCGATCTCAGTATCGATCTCACTATCGGTCTCGCTCGATCGATCTCACTCGATCGATCTCACAATCGATCTCACTCGATCTATCTCATTCGATCGATCTCACAATTGATCTCACAATCGATCTCACAATCGATCTCACGTTCGGTCTCAATGTCGATCCCACTATCGATATGACAATCGCTCTCACAAGCAACGTCATCATCATCAACATCATCAACATCATCAACATCATCAACATCAACATCATCACCAACATCGTCATCATCATGAGGGCACCGTCATCATCATCATCATCATCATCATCATAAACATCATCATCAACGTCAGCATCATCATCGGGACAACATCATCATCATCATCACCATCATCATCTCATCATCACCATCATCATCATCATCGGGACACAGCCATCGTCATCATCATCAGCAGCATCATCAGAATCAACATCATACTCGGGACACCATCATGATCACCATCATTCTCATCATCAACATTATCATCAACATCGTCATCATCCTCGGGACACCATCATCATCATGATCATCGGATCATCATCAACATCATCAACATCAACATCATCACCAACATCGTCATCATCATGAGGGCACCGTCATCATCAACATCATAAACATCATCATCAACGTCAGCATCATCATCGGGACAACATCATCATCATCACCATCATCATTTCATCATCAACATCAACATCACCATCATCGGGACACAGTCATTGTCATCATCATCAGCAGCATCATCAGAATCAACATCATACTCGGGACACCATCATGATGACCATCATTCTCATTATCAACATTACCATCAACATCGTCATCATCTTCGGGACACCATCATCATCATAATCATCGCATCGTCATCATCGGCATCATCATCATCAACAACAACATCATCATTGGGGCACCATCATCATCATGAGCAACATCATCATCAACATCGTCATTATCATTATTATCATCATCGGGACACAATCAGCATCACCATCATCATCATCACCATCATCATCATCAACATCATCATCGGGACACCATAATCATCAACATCATCATCATCATCAACAGCATTATCGCCGGAACACCATCTCCATCAACATCATCATCACCAACATCATCGGAATAATCATCATCATCATAATCATCATCATCGGGACACCGTCATCGTCATCATCATCAACATAATCATCATGAGCACCAACATCCTCATCATCGGGACACTATCATCATCATCGACACCATCATCAACATCATCATCATATTCATCGGGACACCACCATCATCATCATCATCACCATCATCATCATCATCATCACCATCACCATCATCATCATCCTCATCATCATCATCATCATCATCATCTTCTTCTTCTTCTTCTTCTTCTTCTCATCATCATCATCCTCACGGGACACCGCGGGACACCGGCGGGACACCGCGGGACACCGCGGGACACCGCGGGACACCAGCGGGACACCGCGGGGCCCCGCGCCCCGGATGAGAAACATTTGGTCCGGCCGCGCCTCAGCCACAGGAGGACACCGCGGGACACCGGCGGGACACCGCGGGGCCCCGCGCCCCGGAAGAGAAACATTTGGTCCGGCCGCGCCTCAGCCACAGGAGACTTTTTCTCGCCCGCCCACGCAGCTTCGCCTCGCACGCACGGCACGCACGAACACGAAACCGAAACCGATTTCCCGGTGGGGGGCTCGCCGTTCCACTTCGATCTCACCCCCTCACCTCCGATAGCCCTATAGCCCAATAGCCCAATAGCCCAATAGCCCAATAGCCCCGTAGCCCCATAGCCCCATAGCCCTGTAGCCCTGTAGCCCTATAGCCCTATAGCCCTATAGCCCTATAGCCCTATAGCCATATGGTCCTAAAGCCCTATAGCCGTATATAGCCCTATAGCCCGAATAGCCTTATAGCTCTTAGCCCTATAGCCGTGTAGCCCCATGGCCCCATAACCCTAAAGGCTTCTAGCCCTATATCCCTATGGCCACATCGCCCTATAGCCCCATAGCCCTAAAGCCCTAAAACCCCATAGCCCCCCCCCGAAATTCTGATTGGGGTTTTCTCTGGTATCATTTTGGTCAGCGGCCGCAAGAGAACCAGACGGCGGACGAGCAGCGGTGG